TTAAATTAAGAGAAACTAATAATTAAGCATTAATTAATTAATAATCAACATTATTAATACTTTCACTCATTATTAATAATTATTAATGTTCTTTTTACATGCTTGGGTATTAATCTGCTCTGCTTTTGTCTGTTCCCTGGGTGATGGTTTAGACCAAGGAGTACCAAACTCTTTTTCTGAAAGAGGCCAGATAATAAATATTTCAGATCTTATGGGCAGTACAATCAGAATGATGCAGCTCAGCCATTGCTGTGTGGAAGCAGCTCAATGCACTACGGACCGAGTGAACAAGGCTCTGTGACAATAAAACTTTATCCACAAAAGTAGGCATCAGGTAACATTTGATTTATAGGATAATAGTAAATTGATCCCTAGTTAAAATTACGGGTTTTAACAAGTTCTTCATTTACAATATATTCCAATAAGCTGTAAATGTTTAAGCAGCTTACACTGTGATGTATTCTGTTCTCACTGTCATTCATTTCAAAAGTTTTCTAATCTTATGATTTTCCTCTTTGACCCATGGGTTCTGTAGAATTATAAGGCTTAATTCCTGGTTATTTGGAAATTGTCTAGGTAGCTTCCTTTTTTCAGTTGATTTGTAAGTTAATTTTTTTAAATCAAAGAACATAATCCAGGGGAATTCAACCCTTCAGAGGTTGAGGGTAATTTCACGGTCCAACATGTGATATCGTGATGAATGCACTCTGGATGCTGTGCAAACGTGTTCAGGTATTAAATACAGTGTTTCTTTATTAGATATACCTCTTCACGTTTTTATCTCTTCAAGATAACTGTTTATATCACCTTTTGCCACAAATGTGTATCACTTCATGTATAATATAAAACCTTAGCTGTGTGGCTCATTTATTTAATCCTCCTCATGTTATGAATACCACTTATTTTACATGGAAATATACATGACTGATAGAGAGATAACCTCAGTTCATGGACTTAATTCTTTCTACATTTCTGGTCACAAACCAAATTGGACGAAAATCCGTCAAATCTCCCCATAAGATCAACACTGAACCTAACCATTGAATTTGACTCAGTTCTCTTCCAATTCAGTTTTGGACAGAGCTGTGGAAAGAATTAAGTTTGTGACCCAATTGCATAAATATACATTGTATATATAATATATAAGTGTGTAATTATATAGATGTATATGTGTTTTCAAATTACTGTTGAGATGTTAGGAGAATTAGCAGAAATAATCAAATAATCTAATCAGTGAACAAGAAAGATTGAGATTATGTTATCCAAAGAAAATAAGGAACATAAGGAAAAAAGAATAAATAAAAATAAGCAAAGCCTCAGAAACGAGTGTGAAACCATATGCATGAAAGGGGCACAGGGAAAAAGAGAAGAATGGAACAAATTGAAAAAGAAAAATTATTGAAAACTCCCCAAATTTCATAGAAAACATTAATCTGTACATTCAAGGCATTTAACACACTCCACATGGGATAAACGCAGAAAGCTACAGCCACACATAACAACAAAAATGCTGAAAGAGAAAACCTTGAACGCAGCAAGAGAAAGACAACTCATCATGTGCAAGGAACCACAATAAAATTAAGTGCTTTTGCATCAGAAATGCTGGAGGCCAGAAGGGAACTGGATGACATATTCAAAGTGATGAAAATAAAAACTGCCAGACAAATATCCTATTTCTGGAAAGAAAAAAAAAAACTTTCCAAAAGAAGCACTCAATGCAGGTAATTCCAGGTAAACTACCCCTGAGAGAATTCCTTGCCAGTAGACTTCCCTATAACAAATGCTAAAGGAAGCTGTTCAGGGTGAAAGTGGGTGACCCCAGAGAGTAATTCCAATCCATACACACATGTCACCTTGGTAAAAGTAACCACGCAATCACAAAACATGGAATAATGCAGATCTCATCTCCTTTCTTAACTGATTTAAAAAGCAATTGCATAAAACATTGCTCGAGACATGTACCTTTTTGCACCCAGAATATATTTAAATGCAACACGTCTGAAAGAGACAGCAGGTCCGCAGCAGCACTGGCTCATAACGAACTGTGGCACCATGCTGGGGTCTCCTCCATGAGCATTTGGACCAGATTCAAATCCAGCCCATTACGGGAACTCACCTGCGTTTACCCTGCTCCTAAACGCAGCAAATGTTTTGGAGATGCAGCCTTCTTGAGTTCCGCTTCCCCTCCTTGCGGGAAGGACGGTCCGGGCATGGACATATGCATGCAGCTCAGCGACTCTCTAGTCACAAAGTTATTTCCCTGCACATGAAGGGAAGGGGCCCCCATGAACACCTCTGTATGTCTAGAGTCCTACGATTACCACTGGTTGACTGGCAGCTGTAGACACTTAGCTGCAGCATCCAGCTAGGGAGCGTGGATGCTGGCTCCCAGCTGACACAACTGCTCAAGACAGCCACGCCGGCGCTCTCCTGGGAGGACATTTTCTTTCCTAGAGCTGAACTTGAGCAGAGTTCATCAGCCATACCAACTGCAGTTCCGGTAACAGAGCCGTTTGGAGCAGCTGTCCCTAGAGGGCAGGAGCGTGGCGTGCTGGGGGCGTTGGTCCTGGGGTGAGGAGTAGAGCAGCGGGGACTCAATTCCTAAGATATTTCAGTTGCTCTGGTGTTAGAGGCAACACATCCCAAGACTGGGACAGTGAACTGGACTCGCTGGTGCCTGAGTGAGCTGTCCTGACACTCGGATTTCATAAATGGAGTGACTTCCCCTGGCTGGCAGGGACACCCTTGAATGAAGACTTTTCTCTCATTGAAATTCAACTCTGGGAGATCTAAGGATCAACAGACCGTTCCCAGCCTCCCCCGAGAACTGGCTCTGCCTGTCTCAGCTACACACACATGGGCCTTGACAGTCTCCTTTCCAGAAGGCGGGGAAGGTCTGTGGCAAGTCTTGGCCTCTACCTGACATGTTCCCAGAGTAACCCTTGGGGCTCAAGAGAAAGGCGATTTCTCTTGTAATCTTGTCTTTACGCCTCAATCAGCCATGCCTTTCTCTAATTCTCAAGATCTGACAGTAGCTGCCAATGCTGTAAGCGCTATGACCGCGGAGACCCCTCTGCCTCTACACTGGACCTGCAGGCTTCTCAGCATCTCCCTTAGAGTGTCTACTTGAGGAAGTGATCAGTGCCTAGAACCTGCCAATTAATTGTCCTACTATCACAAGGAATCATCCAACATGTTTTATTTCTTCATTTTTCGGAAGTGCTTGGAAGTGCCTTTACAGATAGGTTAAATGTAACTGTGGAACATGTACAACATGTGACACTGAAAGCCAGGCGTGATAGAATGAAGTAGTCACACTTTACAACCAAAAAGTATTTCAAAGCACAATAGTATAACAGCATGCTTTGTTTGTTTATCATACCTGGTGTTTCACCGGGGAACAAGAATCCCGACTGAGAAAAGTGAAACATAAGGGAGGACACCTTCCTCTCCCCCCAAATTCCAAGCGACACTGGTTCCTACTGTTTGCTGTCTTGAAGCCACTCAAAAGTGCACAACCAGGGGCTGTGTGGGTCTGGCTGCTCACTCTCCTCTGCCGCAAAGATCAGGTCCCCTTGCTGAGACGAGTCTGAGGCTGGGACCGACAGCCGGGACTGTGGGAACTCGGAGACGTCTTGCTCCTTAGGCACAGTGCAGTTAAGCAGCATCGCGGAATTCTTTGGTTGTAAAAAACACAGAGGACAGCGCTCAAGATCACAGATCTGCTGAGTAATGGTATGTGGGTGTGACTGTGTCTTGCAGTATTTTATAGCCCTCCTTTATCCCTGGGTGAGATCCTGCCTTCCACAATGTCGACAGTGGCTTAAATGCACACAGATGTGTAGTATTAACGTTGCATGTTAAATTGACGCCCTTCCTACATGTCTAAGATAAGGCTCCAATGGAGGGCAGCTGCAGAAAGAGTCACCAGACCTGTGCCACAAGGAAGCACCACGGGCCCTCACCCGGCCAGCCTGGCACAGGGGTGCACCGAGGGCTGCAGGACAGCGCCACGCTAGAGCAACTGAGATGGTAGCAGGTGCCCTGGTGTGTACAGATGTGCCCTGGGGAGACTGGCGGGAAAGATGAGAATAATGAAACAGGAGTAGAGAGAAACTGGAGACCTGCTCTCCTTGGCACCCTCCAAGGCCCTTGAGAATGGAACGTGTCTTCAAGGTGTGGGACACGTGGGTCAAACAGAGCCCATAAAGTGACTAAGAGGGAAGAAAATGTCTCTCTGTAAAGAGAACAGAGTGAATGCACAGCGTCGTGCTATTGGCTTTATTGAGTGGGATTCCTACAGAGGGGCTGAGGCCAGGCTCCCACAGATACTAGGGGGTGATTACAATATTTCCAACGGATAGAAAAATCAGCATTACACAGACCCCAAATTCCAAGTCAGCATCCATCTATCTGTTTGCAAAGTGCTTTATTTCAATGGGCAGTGTGGATGTACACAAAGGTCATCTCTATGTTTTGGCAACATCCAAAGAGACTTCAGTCCTTAACATATAATTACAGTGCTTCACCTGGACGGTTGACCAGGAGCAGCAATTAAAACCCAAGAAATTTTAAAGACATTTCACAGAACACGCAGATTGTCCAGTACTGTGGGTTGGTAAATATTATTGCTTCCTTGAGCTGGGAAGACAATTTCCCTAATGGACTTGCATCATTATTTCCCATCTGGTAACCCATGGTGCCCCGCTTGAGCCACAGAACTCGGTCAACACCGCAGCCCAGGTTAGGGTGTGTCCGTACTTTTGTTCTTTTAGAAATTTCTAAAAGCAAACAACGAAAATATTCTATAACCTATTTAAACTGTACAAAGCCATAAAGGAATGAAGGGGCATCAAGAATTTCAATGCCTAAAGGAAAATGGAAATGCAGGCCATTGCATTTTTTCACTTGTACACACAAATTTAAGCATGAAGCTTCACTCTATTGCCTATCTCATTTCCAACTTTCCTTTTTCCCCTCTATTTTTGAGACAGGTTTTACTAAACCCTGTACATGCACACTGATAACTGGGATGAACAGCCGGGTCCCATGGCTCGGTCCTGTGTTCCAAAGAGAAAGAAGACAAGGAAGCTCATGGAGGGAAACAGTTACCCAGAGTTCTAATGGGGTGGGGCTGCCACCAGGAGAGCTTTCTGGCTCAATGGTTGATGAAATTTTAAATGAGAGAAAAGCTGTTACTCCGCACCCTAGATTTCCTCAGCCAGCCTTTACAGGCATCCATAGGGACTGGAGAAAGACTGGATATGGTGTGGACATTCTTACGGCATGGGAAGGTGTTGCTAAGGGACATCCAAATTCATCCCGAAAGCAAGGGCTGGCATTTACCAAAGTGCCACAGATGGTGCTGGCAGTGTCGAGAAATGCACTCACACCAACAAAGAGCCCAGGAGGGCCCAGCCAGCACCAGCATCAACCTGTCAGCGGTACCAGCTTCAAAGCACAGCACCCATTGTCTACAGTTTTGTTTCTGTGTCTACAGCTTGCTTGTCTGGGTCCACAGTGCCCGGAACCTGCGACCCCATCCAAAGCCCCTGCCCATATACAGACACATAACCAAGCCACTGGCAAGTAAAGACCAAAAGGGTTCCAGGGGCCAAAGGCTGCCACACAATTGGTGCCTCAGCACCATTTCAAGGGGGAGCCCTGAGAAGCTGACAGACACATGGGCCCACTTTCAGGAGACATCTTGCCTATCAGCCGAGCCAATGGGAGGTTGTCAACAGGAAAATTTGCAACTTTAGGGACTGTTTACTTTTGGTGTACATTTATTGCTGTATCAAGGGTGCTAAAATCTTTGACTGAAAAGAAAGAAAAAAATATACATATATATGCATATATACACCAGTCAAACAGATGCCAAAACTAAGCTGGAAATACGTGGATAAAATAATGAAACCAACTGAAGGATATTTAAATGTTTATTGTCATGTTAAAAACGATGAATTACCCTGTGGTTAGAATATACGTTTATGCTGGAAAATGAAGTCACTTTATTTCTGAAAGATTTCCAGGGGGGGGGGGAAGGAAAAATCCAAAAGTAATGAAGGGTAAGATCAAAGTACTCTGGCAAATTCCACCAACAATCCCAACACGAGCCATGGACTGTCCAGAACGGATCTCCTACTTCCCGATGCCAGGCTTCAATACTTTTCCCACCATCAGTTTAGATATTTTTGAGCTGGTTGTCTGTACATTTAAAAGCTACAGTTTTGCATGCTTTATGTTAAAGGATATTTATTCCAACACAACTCTCAGAGTTTCAGTATACTGCCTATATTACATACAAAAATAGCTGCTATCCATATTTCAGCGTAACTTTTCCACCACCCATTCTGTCCATTTACAAAATAGGTGATCAGCATTACATTACACGTGTACCATGTTTATTGGGGGAAGGGTTACTGAGTTTATAAACCATCTATGGTATCATTTACAGAGAACACAACAGAGAATTGAGACCATTTCTCAGGAGATTAGAGCAGAATCCCCAATGGTGCCAATGACATGTACAATTCAGATGAAACCACCCTCTGTGATTGTTGCTGCTGGACTAGAAGAGGTTCTTCACTGAGAAACACAATTTTTCCTGTTTTTTCAACATCCCAGCATTAGAGAGACCCCTTTCTTTAAAAAAGGCAACAAGAATGTTGATCAAAATGTTTGTAAAACTTAAAATTAGCAAGGTACAAATTAGTCTACAGATATGGCCATGGACAAAAATCAATCCATGTGTTCACTCCTTTCATATTTATAAATAGAAATTCCCGGCTTAGACATTAAGGATTATTATAGTCTGAGAATTTATTACCCTGGCCAGTGTGCAACAGAAACCTTTAGGTAGTTGATTATTCTTTCTCTCAGCACACAGCATATTCTGCAGTGTAACAGACGTTGTTCTTGCAAAGAAAACTGCTATGGTCTTTTTTTCACACTTTCAAGTAGAACACACCTCTCTGTTTAAACTCCAGTTCTGTAGTGCAGCAGCTGCTTCTCGATCCCTGTGTTCTGGCCCCAAAAGCCGTGCAACTAGACTCTGGAAATAGCGACCAGGAGCCTTCAACTGCTCCAGGTCGTATGATCGGTGTCTTACATCTCAGCCCTCCTCAGTGTGACCACAGGGTTCACTGCCTGGTGCCCACTGGAAAGGTTTCCTTTTTCCTTCCTCTGAGCGTGCCATTCTTGTGGGAAAGGTTGGGACTTGATAGCCCCCATTTGGCTCAGGTTATTTACGAGACCCGTAATTTGGATGCCTCCACCATACGAACCTAGAGAATCCAGGCAAACCACATGCCCTCTGGGCAACTGAATTCCCAAGCTAACTATCTTACATTATTCCACTGAGTTTAGATATTGTTTAGTATAATGCTCAATAACTGTAGCTGACTAGCTAGAAAACAAGGGGACATAAGCCTTGGTTTATGATCTCGAGCAATATTTACAGAACAAAATGCATCTGTGAGACTCTCTTATGCTGGCTGAGTAATGTCCATGCCAAACTGAGATGACAACAGCCGCTCTTGATTCCCACTAAATATCTCTGACTCCTCAGGACTCGCACACACACGTGTGGGCATATGTCATGTATTTACATGTGAATGTTGTATGATGAAAGGGACCCACCACCACCTTCCATTTGACTTTTATTTTGAACTGACTGAATGCTAACACCAGCACAGATACAGAGGCTGATTCCCTCTGGGTGACTCCACACAGTCCATGAGAACAACTTCAGGACCACGGTCAGTTCCCAGCTCCACAGGCGCACCGACCTTTTGCTCCTTGACCCGCCCCCATCAGACTCTCCGCTTACAGGAAATGCTCCAGTGTGTTTGTTCCTTAATGTCGCCCCACGTACAAATGCTGATTTCCTTCTGAACTACACCACTGCCCAATCTCCCTGTGCCAGGGGGATGCAGCCAGCTGTGAGTGTGAGACTCCATTCAGGTGAGGCTCCTCACTTTGGGGAAGGAACCCCCATGATCTCATTAATGTTGAAGACCCAATGGGGAGACCAGATGAGAATGCCTCATAGGAGGAGCAGGACTTACCCAGAGAGCAGTGTGTCAATTAGTGCATGAGCTTTTCTTCTGCCAGCCTTGGGGCCACCTGCCCAGCAACCTCTTCGAAAGCTGCTGGCTAACTGAGGGGCTTTTCCTAGAGGTCCAGACATCTGTTTGCAAAGCCTGAGCTGCTAATGCCTGGATACCCTGGCTCCATTCTCCAGTCAAACTGAGGTTCCTCAGAACCCCACCAGCTTTGGTCCCTAAGTCCCACTTTGAACGCTTACAGAACCAACAGAACGCCAGTCTCCAGCGTTGGGAGGTTAGGCCAAGGTCCCCTGCAGTGCCAGCCCTGTCTGCAAAGACACTGTAGTTGAAGACACAGGATGGACTTTCTGTCTGCCGCGTCATAGCTGAAAGAGGTTGACTGCCATGTTCCCACCCATGGGAATCTAAAATAAGAGAACAACTGCACAACACCAGCTCTCTTCTGAATAGCTTGGTCACCAACTTTTTGGAGCCAAGAAACTGATGCAGGTGACCTTGTCCATGTCCTTCTTGCTTGGGGCCTTTAGAATTCCATTTCTCAGAGATGCAAATGGCTTGGTTAACTCCTAATGGGGCATGCCATTTCACCCCTTTCCACCCATGCCATCTTAACAAATAAAACTTGCATTTTTGCTTATTTCAAAATCTTGCTCTGCCTGAGACCATTCATGATGTTTTTCAGTAACATTTTTAAGATTACACAGGAATCTTTTTTACTCTCTGACCACTTTGATTTTTCCACAGCGGCAGATTGTTCGGAAGGACAGCTTCTTAGGCTGTGGAGCAACCGTTTACTTTTATGAATTCAGAGGGAACCTACTGCTTTTCTCCACCAATACATACCTGCAAACGTTTAATTCTGTCAGGGCCATGACTGAGATTTGGTTTCCTTGGTCACTGCATGGAGGATTTCTATATATTGCTAATTTTAAACACCATTAAAACATTTTTGTGTTCCAGTAAAATGGAAAGTTCAGTCTGAAACTATTTCCCAGGCAATTTCCTTTCTGTGTAGGATCAATTCCACTTTTAGATGTCAGTTTGGATAATACATTGTGTTGACCACAGAGAATACAGCTATAAGTACAGCTATGTTGGGGTCTTTCTCTCCTCAGAAATGCACTTCAGGAGCTCCCCAGAATTTTCAACGAGCAGATGACAAAAACAAATGTTTGTGAGTCACAACTTTTCTCCAAATGTTTTAAGCTTCGTGTACAAAACTGTAAAGAAATGGGCCTCCCTCGTGGGACAGTAACACTTTAAGTAAAACCCCATCCCGGTCTTATTCAGGAAAGTTGAACAGCAAAAAGAAACAAAAACAATAAGAATAACTTCTTAGACACTGCCCCTCAGTAGTGCAGAAAGCTGGACAAACCCAACATCCTGCAGGGCCCCAGGAAGTGACAGGACAAGGTGAGTGCCAGGGAGTGAAACACGCATGTCAACTGAACAGATGTCAGAGCAGAGACTGAAGTTTCTTCGCGTCATATTTCACAAAAAATCCAGAGGACAAAGGAACATGTGCGGGTGCAAATGTATATAAAAAATAATGAGCAGCGCTCCTAACAAACAAGGAAGCTACATTCAGTCATCTCTCACATATGTCTAAACTCAGGCCAAGGGCTCTAAGTGTCCACTGTGCTTTAAAAGGTCTAAAAATAGAAAAATCACCACCCAAATCCTTCCTAATTACACACCACATGGCCATTTGCCAGGAGATGACTAGCAATGTCTGTGGGGTCAGGTTTATTATACTTGCACCGAGCTCAGACCAGGCAGGAGATAGACTGTTGTCTCCGAATTTCTCCAGGCCCTGTGTGTAGCTGTTTGAGAGGCATTTCCTGGTTAAAACCCGGTGGCCATAGCTCTCCAGGCCTCTGAAGCCTGCTTAGGTAGAGATCCCACCAGTAAACTTTGTGAAGTCATCTCTATTGCTGATCAGATTCACTGCTCCACCATCCTGAAAACAGAAGGCATAAAGGTGAATACAAACATAAAAAAGGAGCTCACATCTGGTCCTGCAGCCTTTCCATATAGTCCCTAAAGTCCTGCGAGTCTCCCAGACCCATATCCTGGCAGACCCACTTGATGTTGTCATCGCTGCCGAACAGGATGGAGTTGGTGTAGGGGCCGCCGTCCTCGGGGAGGATGGTGGTGTAGGAAGTGAACTTGACTCGCTTCCTCTTTGGGCCCGCAGAACTTATGGGTTCATTTTTCATCTCCTTCTCATAGACATAATCAGAAGGTCTGAGCAACTGGCTGTGGAAATTCTTCTGGGAACCGCCATTCAGCAGGAAGTTCCTCTCCTCAAACTGCAGCCCCCTGTCTATCATGGTCGTGCACTCCTCGGAGGGCAGAGTCACGTCCACTGGGTTCTCCAAGAGTTCCACCTCGTTCCCCAGCCAGACCCAGTCGTGGGAGTGGGGGATGTTGCCTTGCTCACTCACCGCGAACCTTTTGTGTCTGTATTTCCAAGCAAACGCCACACAGTTGATGAGGAAGACCAAGATGGCCAGGCAGAAGACACAGAGCAGGGCGTACATGCCGATCTCCAGGTCTGTGAGGCCCCTGGAGGTCATTGCAAGGTCACTAGGGTTATTGGATGCAGGCGACTTCCCTTGAGTGGGGAAGCTTGTGAAGGCGTCGGCACCACCACTTTTGAGCACCTTCTCACCCTTTCCTCCCACGGGAGACTGCAGGGTTGTGCTTTTGTTGGTCCTTTCCTCCTGCCCGACGGATGCGCCGTGTCGGAACCATTCCTGCACGGCTCGCTCCTGGTTTCCTTCCCGCTCAATGGAATTGCTGAGGTGGTCTTTGTATTCCCGGTTAACGCCCTCAATATCATTGCTGCCCCCTTGGTGTCCAACAATACTGGGTTCAAACTTGACCTTGACATTCCCTTTACCCACAGCAAGAACGCTCTTCCTCTTGGTCTTCTGACAAGGCTCACTGATCATCATTTCCAGCTTAATCAGGGGCCCCTGTCCTTCCCCCTCTGCAGCTACCACTGGCCACCGGGACAGGAGGTTTGGCTGCACGGACACCACCATCTCATCCAACGATGATACGGTTATGGAAAAATCCTTGGGGTCATAAATGTCTAAAGGCGTCACTGAGCCATCACTGAACAAAAGCCAAGAACTGACTATTGCTTCCTAAGGAAAACAGACGAAAGCATAATGTTATAATCTGGTTCCTTCAAATTTACAGAGAGATGATTTCCTGTATCAGTTATTTAAACATACAGAGAAAAACAAACTATGTTTTCCAATCTTGCATAGTTCCTATTGTCCCTTGAGCTGGCATCAATAAACTGCTAAAGCCCAACTGGTGTGAGAAATAAATGACATGCTTTAATGAGTGCATTAAAGTGCAAATTAATTTATTGCACTCCATACTGCAGAATGTGACTTTGACCTTTCTAAAAACACTTAGAAAGATCAGGAAATTTATCTGAATCAACTTCAGGTGCAACTAATCAGGCTCTGCATGTTCTTTACTAGGAAGCAAAACGATGCTGCATGGAATCTCTTGGTCAGGGATGTACTACAAGGCCAGCTGGCCTGGAAAGCTCAGGGCCCCTCTGTCTTTATAAATGATTTGTAAAATTTTCAAGATGAAGGAGATTTGTAAAGTCGACAATAACTGCGATAAACGACAGCAATTTGGGGCCTATTAGCCATGCCTGTTCAAGTAGCTGAAATGGAATTTCTGAGTGTCAGAAATCACCTGCTTCCTTGGCAAAGGCAAACACACAATCTTTTGTTCACAGTCCAGCAGCAGACTGTTCCTAGCACACAGTGGCCCACTGGAAAGTGAATGGCAAAGGGAATGTACCCGAGGCTCTGCATGTTTTTCTCAGAGACAGGGAGGCTGGCCTGGAAGGACTCGGAGAGTCAGCCGTTCTTGGGAGTGCTTTGCTGATCTGCTCTGCTGGAGCAGACAGGCAGTCAATTCATGGAGCAGGGCACGAGGCCTCTGGGGTCCTCACCTGCTGGGGGGCTTGGAGAACATCCTGGGCAGCCACTGTGGAGACAATGGCCCTCTTGTCTGCTCTGTGAGGCTGCAGGGAAAGAGACAAGCCAGCCACCAGCTGCACGCCCAGCTCAGAGATGGTGACCCGATCATCCAGGACGATCACTGTCTTCTCAGCCAGGATGGAGTCCGAGAGCGGCGAGAGGACCTAGGGAGTCAGTGCAAAAGCTCAGCCTCGGCCCCGCACCACTGAGCTCCTGAGCCCTTGTCATCGTTGTCGCGGCCTCCCTGAATGGAGTGACCCCAGGGATAACAGCAAGGAGACAAGGACCTCAGTGCTACAAATATTGAGTGCTAAGTTATGCCACGAACCTGCATCATTTCAAAAGCCAGTTACTTCTCCTGACTCCCAGGTGAGGACCCGGAGAGGCAACACAACAATCTCAAACTGGGGCACCTGGAGCTGAGAACCCCACCACACCCCCAAGGCCTCCTGACTTACACAAAAATGGCTTCCTAAGTCTGTGCCGCTATAAGACGCTAACTGTGGTCATCTGTTACGCAGAAATAGAAAGCGAACACAGGACATAGCACGTTTAACCCAACTTCGCCAACACCTAAAATATGAACAAGTAAGCAGTAACATTGTAAGCTTGTCTAAGAAAAACACACTGCAACTTGCTCCTGCATTGAGTCAGCTAGAAATTGTTTTACTCTTACTAAGGTAGAGAGCTTATAACCATGAATCTTTTAGAGCAAATATATGCTTTTAAAAATCTTTTTGTCTACTGCTGAAATACAGCTAATGAACCAACTTCAAGTGCAACCAATGCAGGATACAGCTAAATGGTTATACTGCAAGGCTACAGGGAAAACTGGCTTTCAGAGCTTTGGCTCCCTTGTATGGGCAATATCCTGTATAAAAAGTAAAGTAGCAGGGGCAAAGGTGAAAGGGTGGCAAGTTCCAGGCCACCCTGGGCCTCTCAGTGAGATCCTCTCTCAAAAGAAAATTTCAGGAAGGGCAGAGGATATTGCTGAGGGGTAGAGCGCTAGCCTGGCATAAGTTCAATCCCCAGCATGCCAGAAAGAATGTGTTTTAAGAAGTACAATATTATATTGAGAAAAGGTTACACTATGAGTTTTCTTTAGCTTTCTCTGGTAAATGAGATTCAGTTAGTTAGCCTCTCAATTCTAACATGTCAAAAATAATCTTTTCACTTCATACTGGACTGTTTCTCACAGTTCTCTCACACACACACCCTGGATCCAGGCACACTGACACACACCCACGTGGGTGTGCATGCATGCTCTCGCCATGTGCTCATCTCTGGACCACCCAGTTACGTGGCTGTTCATCAATACAGATGGGAGCCGGGCCAAGCAGCCAAGCGGGGAAGCTGTACCTGGACGGTGGTGATTCCCGGCTCCCGACCGGCCAGCGTCCTGCCGTCCCGTAGCTCGGCGACTTTCGGCTCCTCCACCTTCATAAACTCAGTGACCAGGTCAGTGATGTCAAACTGCCAGTCAGGGCCCAGCATGTAGCTCAGCTGGCCCAAGTCAGGAGCCTCGGCCACAAACTGGGTGAGGACGCGCACCAGGGCATGCTGGTACTGCAGGGAGCAGCCCCGGCCCTTCTTCTCCTCGTCCTCTTCGTCCTCACTCTCCCGGGTTGGCCTGGGGCACAGAGACCAAAGCAGAGTGAGCTTCCTGCCTCCAAGAGCAGCCCGGCCCTGCTGCTGAGGTTCTATGTGAAGAACACAGTGAAAGGAAACATTTGGTGTGCCTGTCATCCGCAACTCATTCATTCAACAAACACTCGTGGTCACCATGTTCTCCACGGTGGCCTCGCTCTGGGACACAGACAGTGTGTGTACCCCACCTCCCCAGAGTGGAGGGAGATTCAGGCCCTGGGCAGAGGTAGATTCTCTGGTTTCTGTGCTCCGGTAAGCGGTTGTTGAGAAACTACTCCCCACGTGGGAAGCAGGAAGCAGGGCCTTGGCCTGCAGAGGGGAAGAGACAGCCTGGGGTTGCTTGGGTCCAGTTTCCTTCCTCCCCTGGGTCCTCTAGCCAGGCATTCCACCCTCCACTGGCTCAGCTTCCTCATGGGGGGCATCAAAACCAGGACAGCCGTGCAGCCCTCCCAGCAGGGGGGAAGACCCCTCAGGAAGCAGAGACAAACCCTGGGATGGCCCCAGGCTCCAGCGCCCATCTCCCCACTGGATGAGGCCTCACAGTTCCACAGGAGTGGCCTCCTCTGAGCTTGCAGTGCTGAAAGCACCAAATCACCCTCACCCACCACAGGCCTGGCCCAATCAAACCCATGCAGCGGGAACAAGGCACTGCTGTTCCTGCTGAAATACTTAAATGTGTCTCCCTGTTGACCAGCCTGGCTTCTCCTTCCCTCCGTCCCTCCCTTCCTCAGGGTCCCAGCACATGATCTCTGATCCTCACCTGTCCCCACCCCACCCCACCCTGTGAAATTCTCTCTGACACTGTAATTCCAGAACCTTCCCTGCAGGAGAACCCATCTTGCCTCCTCTTAGACAAGAACTTAGCTCAGTGGCTGCTGCCTAGTCTGTCACATCCGTGAACAAGGACTGTATCATGGGATAAAGGGGCAAGAACTCATGGGTACTGAGGCAGACCCACCATGGGCCCAGTCTCTCCAGAACCATGACAATTAAATCACCATAGCCATGCACGCTTCACTCATTCTATCCTCACAGAACACTACAGACTGAGGTCGAATTATGACCCTGATCTTGCCAATGAGGAAAGAGATAAGACAAAGGACAGGCTATGACTTGCAGAGGCAGTGTATGGTTCATATCTAAAATGTCCCATCACACACTCATAGACAGGATTGTGGGAAGGTGATTGGATCATGGGTGTGTGATACTTATCAGTGGATGAGTCCACTAATGAGTTTACAGCTGACTGTGATATTGGGAGGTGGAGCTGGTGGGAAGAGGTGGGTCACTGTGGGCGTGGCCTGGAAGGGTCTATCTCCCTCCTCCTCCCTTGATTCCTCACTGCTTCCTGCCTACCCTGCTGTGGACTATTTCTCCTCTGCCATGTCCCTCGGCCATGTTGCCCTGCCTTGGAAAGAGCTGGCTCGAGACTGAAATCTCCACAAACTGTGAGCCAAAATAAACTCACCCTTTAATTTGTGGGAGTCAGATATTTTGTCTCAGCAATAAGAAAGTAATTAAGACAGGCAGGATGGATCCATACCAAGCAGACTGCCTTCTCTGTGTGTGTGCCTGCTAACGTCAAGGTCCACAGTGGCTGTGTGGCGCCACAACTGCTACTACAGATGTATATGTGGTTCCATGCACCTTCCGAAACCCACCTTTCTTCCCGTTTTCCATTCCACCTCCCTTTTGTGGCAGAAAATTGTACAGAAACTTCTCACTACCACTGTAACAAAGCAATGTGTTTCCTAAAGCAAGCGGCAAACAGCTTTATGGGTAAGATAGATAACTTTAGGTGCAAAGGAGAGAGCATTAAAAAATACTGCATGACATACTGGAAAGCCATTCCATTTTTACTTTTCAGTCTTTCAGCATACATCACAGGACCATCTCTGTTAGATGGCAGAGTGTCCTGATGCTTGACAGTCTCCGTTAGTTAATAAAGATGAACACACAGACAACAAACAGTATCTACTCAGAATTTAATAACGTTGTCTTGTTGCTTTAGATTCATTTTAGATTAAGTTTATTTTATAATAAATGCTACCACATGTGCATTTGTAGTACTGTGAACTTCCCTTTAATTAAATGGGTAAAACTGAAAGAATATTATAAAGCATATTTAATGTTTCACTTAAAAGCAGCTATTCATAAAAGTTGTCTGTGAATGTGGGAAATTTTAGTACCGTAATATTGAAACAAAACAGTTCCATTAATTTAGGACAGACATTGTCCAGTATGGTTTTTTTTTAACTTTTAATTTTAAAGTAATTGCAAATTCACTGAAAGTTTTGAAAAAAGTACAGGAAAAAAGTACAGGGAGATCCACTGTACTCAATGTGAGCATCTTATAACTACAGGACTGTATCAGTGAAGTGGGAAAGTGGCATTGGTACAAAGAGCTCTCTCGAATTTCACTGATTTCACAAGCTCTTTCATGTGCAAGCATGCCCGTGATTTCATACCTACACATGCACAGCTTACGGTGGCCCCAGGACAGCAATGTTTCACCACTTCACATGTAGGCGCTTTAGCTCCACTTAGGTTCCTGCGCCCTCCCCAATTCAAAAACGTAATTAAGGATTTCCCGTGTACTTCAGTGTCGTATCAGATGATGTTATACCTTTTTGCTTCAACATCCAAATATGATTTAAGAAATTCATTAGGAAGGGACTCATCATGAATTTAGGCAGTGATTCTACCTTCTTTAACACTATTTTTATCCATCTTAGGTGTGTCTTTCCTTTCTGAAATTCCCAGGTCTATTTTGGTTATCACTTTCTCTTTAAAGGAGAAAGCTCCATTAGCCATGCTTTAAGGGCAGGCCTCCTGGAAACAAATTCCTTCAAGTCTGTCTTCATGTGTGAATGCCTTTGTTTCCCTTTCATTCTTGAAGAATACTTCTGCCAGATATAGATTTGAGGCTGATAGTTCTTCTCTCTCAGCACTTGAATAATGCACTGCATTCTTCTGGCCTCATGGGTTTAGGTGAGAAATTCACCGTCCTTCCAATTCCTATACGTGATGCTTTGGATCCAAAATGGCCCCAAAAAGTAAGTATACGAAAAAATGTTCAACATCACTGGTCATTCAAGAAATGCAAATTAAAACAGCACTGACATTCCATCTCACTCCAGAAAGAATAGCTATTATCAAGAAGTCAGCTAATAACAAACGCTGGAGGGGCTGTGGGGAGAAAGGAACCCTTCTCCGTTGTTCAAGGGAGTGTACACTGATGCAACCACTATGTAAATCAGTGTGGAGGTCCCTCAGAAAACTAAAACTAGAGGTTCCACTCAACCCAGCTATTCCCCTTCTGAGTATCTTCCCCGAAGAATTAAAAGCATCTGACCACAGTGATATATGCACAGCCATGTTTACAGCAGCACACTTTGTAGTAGCTGAATCTTAGAAACGGTCCAAATGCCCATCAACCAATGAATGAATAAAGATGCAGGGGGTTTTTTTATACAATGCAGTACTACTCTGCCCTAAAGAAGGATAAGCTTGAGACATTTCTAGCTAAATGGATGCACCTTGAGACCACACTCTTCCGTCAAGTAAACTGGACACACATGCTTGCACTGTTTCTCTGGTGTGAGAAAATGAAAGGGTAAATAAGGACCAAAATGTACAATAGATATTGGAAAATAGAAAATGTTCAAGTGGGAAGGGGAACTAGGGAGACAAGAGGAGGAAAGGAAGGACGAGGAAATAAAAAAAATAGAAGGAAATACATGGAAGCAAAGCCTGTGAATAAGGAGGGGGAGGGGTGTTGAAGGGAAGGCAGGTGGGTGGGGAAAAAAGAAGAATCAACAGATACTATGTTCAGGTCCACCTACGATGAATGTGATCATTTTGTATATCTAAAATGTACCAATAAAAGTAATTTTTAAAAAGTAAACAAAATAAAGTGGCGCCCAAAGCCTCATTGTTTGGAAGGTGACTGGATTACAGGGCTGCTAGACCTGACTTGTTGCTAGGTGACAGGGTCTGCTTGAAGAGGTGGGTCCCTGCAGGCCGGACCTGGAGGGGTCCATCTCCCACCCACTCCTCCCCCATCTCTCTGCTTCCTGACCTCCAGGCCACGAATGGCATCCTCCACCCAGACCCTCCTGCCGTGCTCTCTCTGCCCCGGAGCCAGCTGATGAAGGACATAAAACCGTGTGCCAAAAACATCCCTCCCCCTTTAAATTGTGGGTCTCCAGCATTTCTCCCTAGCAATGAGACAGTGACTAAGACACTAACTTCCCTTCTCTCTGGATGCTCTGAAGATTCTTGCTTTCTCTTTAAATTTCAGAAGCTTACTTATGATGTCACTTGTTCGAGTTTACCACTTTGATCACTTCTCCAGCTTTCTGACTGTGTAAGTTTATGCCTTTTGCCAAATTTGGGGAGATCTCAGCTACTGTTTCTTCAAATACTCCTCCAGCTTTACACTCTTTCTTCTCCCCTCAGATTCTAGATTTTTGTATTTTAAAGAGAATAAAAAAATGATAAAAATGATACAGAATTTCAAAACAAGATGATAGGAAACTAACAATGGTTATTATACTGTATATTGTTATCTTCAAAGTAGTTGCTCAGATTATAAGATACAGGCATGCAAAACTGATCAAACAGTATAAGCACTAACTGTTCCTTTCAATGAGCTAGTAGAAATTCATAGTATAATTATCTTAGCTATCTCATATATATATTCCTTCCTTCTCATCTCCTTTCTCCCATCCTAGTTGATCTTTCCCTTTGAGCAGTTTCTTTCCCTTTCATAATATCCATTGTACCTTTCGGATCTTATTGACTCACTCAGGTTCTTACACTAGGGAGACAATACAATGTTTACACGTATGGGTCTGGTTTATTTCATTTATGAGTATGGTCTCTAGTTGCATCCATTACCTATAAAAGCCTCAAGTTTATCTTTATAGCTGAGTAATACTCCATTGTGTAAAAGTACTACATCTTTTTATCCATTCCTTGGATAATAGGCATTTGGGTTATTTCCAAGATCTAGGTATTACAAAATGTGCTGCTGTAAACATGAGTGACATATATAGCTGTGGTATAATGTTTTTAGTTCATCTGGGAAAATACCCAGAAGGGGAATAACTGGGTCAAACAGAACCTCTAATATTAGTCTGAGGAATCTCCACACTGATTCCCATGGTGGCTGTACCAGTATACACTCCCACCAACACTGCAGTAGAGTTCCTTTTTCCCCACAATCCCTCCAGCATTTGTTATTGGTTGATTTCTTGATGATAGCCATTCTTTCTGGGGTGAGATGGAATCTCAGCATTGTTTTAATTTGCATTTCTCAAATGACCAATGATGTTGAACACTTTTTCATATATTTATTTGCTGTTTGTACTTCTTCATCGGAGTCTTCAGATTCTAGGTATAGGACTTTTAGTTTTTTATTATTGTCCCCAAAGCCCCTGATGCTCTGTTCATTCTTCCCCACTCTATTTTCTGTTCTTCATATTCAGTAAATTCTGCTATCTGCCCCAACCTCACTGTTTCTATCTGGTGTCATCCATGCTGTTTCTCACCCACTCGTCGAAGGATTTTCCTCACTTATCATACTTTCTAGCTCAGACTTCCTATCCTGACCTTTTTCACAAACTGCATTTCCTTGTTGAGATCTTCTACTTTTTCACTGATTCTGAGCTATTTATAATTCCTGACACTAAGCTTTTTATTTTCTTGGTGATTATAAATTCCACTCTCCACATTTTGGATATTATGACAGAAACCCCTATATCCTACCAAAATCATTTTAGTTTAATCTGTTCTGTGTCTGTGTAAAAGTCTGGCCCCACTTTTATGGGCTGTAGCTCTACTGAGCATTTGGGCTCAGAGCCAGGCAGGGCTGTTCTGGTCAGCTTCACTTCTCTCTCTCTCTCTCTCTCTCTCTCTCTCTCTCTCTCTCTCTCTCTCACACACACACACACACACACACACACACACACACACACACACCATACTCCATCCCTAGTAGTTTTGCCCAAAGGATAGCGAGGACCTCTCCACCTGGGGTCACAGGAAGCAGATGCCCTGGGTACCTCTGCGGCACCTGCCCTGGGTCCGCTCTCCCATTTTCAGCAAGATTTGAGAGCTCTGTGCTTGGCCTTCGTGCTAGAGCACACTCCTCCAGCATCGAGTCTTTCGTTCCCCACCATCAAGGGATGCTGAGAATTCCAGCCCCCTCGTGTCCTGGTCCCTCCCTCCGCTTACCTCTCCTCTTGCACATTGCTATAAGCAGCAAGAGGAATGCACAGCAGCCTGGACAGCTCCATGGCACAGCTGGCCTCGCTCGCCTTCCACACCACAGCAGAACACACTTGCTACTCCTGCTTCAGCTTCCTAACAAGGACCCGTGCTCCTCACTCCCTCTGAACACTCCCTGGCCGATGCCGCTTTGTCACAATGACTTCAGTTTTCTGTACGGTGACTTGGGATTTCCCTCCAGCATTCCCTGTGCCACACGGCAGCAGATTCCCACCCGTTTCTACTCATGGTCTGCTCATGGCACATGGGCCTTTCCCTGCAGAGGACCCCTGGACGACTCTCCTTGAGGAGGCACAGCTGCCTCCGTGTTGGCTGAGCCTGGCCCTGTTTCCATGCGCTGATATGCACAGAGCTGGCTGGGACTTTTCCTTATCTCTTCAACGGGCTTTAAGCAATGCACATCGGGCCAGCCGAGGTGCTGATGTGTAGTCTTCGAAGATGGCAGGCGCGTTTCCCCGGACCCTCCCCTCTTGTTCCCTTGTGTGAGCTGGGATAAGGCGGAATGCTGAGCCAATGCTCCATGCTGTTGGTTGGGATGAGCCGTGGGATAGAGCCTGTGACTTCCTGGGGCTTGAAAGATGACATATCAGAGCTGACCCCAAAACATTAGGTACTATCTCAACTGTGTTACTCTTTCTGCAGATCCTAAATGCCAGGTCTTGTGCTCAGCACTTCTTGCATTATTACATCATCTTAAAGAATCCTAGGGACAACTCTATGAGGACTCAGTATGATGATCTCATGTTACTTTCCCAACCCTCACCCCCTCATCCCTAACAAGTTCCCGGGATAACCAGGGGAGTCCTGACCACAGACCCTTGCAAGCCACCGTGGGCGCAGCTCCCTGGGCCAATTTCCTCCCGCAGAGACCAGGCCCGGGCAGCCTCAGCTCCACGGCTCCTCTCTGAGCCTCACCTTCTGTTGGAGGCCACGGGGATCCTCCAGCCCTTGATCTGGCTCAGCTCCGTGTCCGAGATTTCAATCTGAAGGGGGAGCCGGGGCGCCCACACGGTGACCTCCACCTGGGAGGTGAAGTGCTGGTGGGTGAAGTTCACGATCGTGTCCACTTTGCTCTTCATCTCCTTCCCGTTCACAAAAATGGAGTCACAGTTGTTGGAGACCTTCGGGGGAAGAAAGAGAGAACCCTGAGGTGCATCAGCAGGAAAGGCACAAGGAGACCCTGGAGCAGCCAAAGGCCCCAAACACCGCGGCGCTGATGGATCAGACACCCAGGCAACTCAGGGGACACAGCGCACACCAGAGGCAATTTGTAGGTTCTAATTAGTGGCAGATACTGATAAACAGACTCCAGGAAAACCATTGTGTGTTACAAAGTGCTGACAAGTAAAAGCATAAACACCATCTAATAGAGTTACATAACCTCTGTTGCTGTTTGTGAGTGCTTTTTTTCTTTACCTTTTTTCCTGTACTCAAACCACCACCAGTCCAACCTCAGGTGTGTCTGATTTCAGTCCTTCATATTTGAAGATATATAAGAGGTTCTTATGTTACTAAAAAAACAGTTTATTCAACCCATATAGAGAATTTTCTGGGAAAAAAATCAAGAGAGCTTTGCACTAGATTAAAATTCCAGTGGGTAAAGCACTTGTGAAATGCACTAGATTTGGGTGCAGTTATTTTTGCCCTGTGCAAGCGCAATTTTGTAGAATGCAGATAAGGATGAAGCATTTCATCGTCACCCTTTGACTCAGCACTTGAAGGTACCATCTTTAATTCATCCGTTCACAGACTGAGGGTTCAACAATGTAAGCCCCCTCTCGTAACACATCTTCTGGATAAACAAAGACATTGTTGCTGACTTTCTGTCCCGGACCACCAGGAGAAGGTGCTTACATTGTACGAGAGGAGGGGAAGGGGGCAGCAAGGACCACGGCATGAGCAGAAGACACAAAATAAACCAGCAATTAACAGCAGAAGCGTACAACTTCCCGGGGCTTCTGATTTCACTTTACAGATGAAGAAACTGAGGCCAGCAACGTGACACAACCGGCTCAGGCCACAGACTCTCAGGGACATGGGGCCGGGCTGCGCCCCTGGCAGGGCTCCCTCCCTCAATCAGCAACGCCACCGCTCAGGCAGTTTTGCAAACCATGAGCCAGGGCTAATCCTTGACGCAGCCCTCTGAGCCCCAGACACAGGCTGGCTGTGTGCTTTTCACCACCAGGAGAATGACTCCAGGGCAACAGCAGAAATGCCAGCTTCCACAGAGAAAGCCTGAGTCATTTAAGACGAATCATCATTTCCCCTGGACCTGACCAAAGATGGCCTCAAATCACCATCCGTACCTACGGCTCTTATGTTTTCTTCTAGCAGTTTCAGAGTTTTGGGTCTTACACTCTGGTAGGATTTTTTTTCCCCTTTCATCCATTTTGAGCGTATTTTTGTAGAGGGTGTGAGGGTGTGAAACAGGGTCAAGTTTCAGTCTTCTTCATGGCAATATCCAGTTTTTCCAGCACTATTTATTGAACTGCTGTCCTTTTCCCACTGTTTCCAGAGCTTTCACTGAGAATCGGTTGGCCGTAAATGTATGGGGTTATTTCTGGGCACTTTATTCTGTTCCGTTGGCCTGTGTGTCTGTTTTGTGTGTGTGTGTGTGTGTGTGTGTGTGTGTGTGTGTGTGTGTGCGTGTGCGTGTTTGGAAAAAAAGAAATTCAAATGGCCAACAAATTCATGAAAAAGCACACAACTTCATTAGCCATCAGGGAAATTCCAGTCAAAACAATGCAGTCAAAACATATTATCTCACCCCAGTTAGAATGGCTATTATCAAAAAGGAGGGGAACTGCTGGTGAGGATGTGAAGAAAAGGGAATTCTCACACATGGTGGGTGGGAATGCAAATCAGCACAGCTGTCATGGAGGACAGCATCGAGGTGCCACAGAAGTTGAAGGTAAATGTAGTACACGATCCAGCCATCCACCCTGGGGATACAGCCAAAGGAGACATCACCAGCACAGAGAAGAGACGGCAATGCACCCATTTACAGCGGCACTGCCCACAGTAGCCAGGCAGTGGGATCACCCTAGACACCCATCAGCAGATGGGTGGAGAACAAAACCGTGGTAATACACAAACAGGATATTACCCAGCTCTAAAAAACGGTGATATCATCTGCAGCAGATGAATGGAACAGTGTGTCAAGTGAGATAACTGAGGCACAGAAAGACAAATTCTATTTTTTCTCAGATGTAGATGTTTTAAAAAGTCAACCTGAATGTGTACTAGTGATGACTAGAGGCTGGGCAGGGCTGGGGAGCAGGAATCCTGGGAGGTTAGATAATGGATGCCCTAACACAAACGGAAGTAATACGTTCTAGTGTTCTACAGGACCGTGATGGTGGGTGCTGGGTTCACAATAACCTACTGTACATTTTATAAATAGCTAGACAAGAAGAACTTGAAGTTCCCAATCATAATGGTAATGAGATATGCATTAATTACCCTGATATCATCAGGACACACTGGGTACATGTATTGAAATATTTCACTGTATCAAATAAATACTTACTATTATGGGTTAAAATTTTTTTCATGTTTAGGGAGATGGAAATGTTAACTACCCTGATTTGACCATTACATCCTATATACAAATATCAAACTATCACCCAGTGGCCCATACATTAGTACAATTAATAATTATCTAAAGTGATAGTGGAGAACTGTAGCTAATATGCCTCTGAATCCTGCAAGTCCCAGTGGCAGCTGCAAAGAGCATCTCTTTAATTTTTCCAACTTTAGGAAAAAGAAGACACTTTCCCATCCTTCTTTTGCTTTCCTTTTTAAAAGGGCAAGGGGATGATGAGCCCAGAAAATCAGCTATCTCTTGGGGATGTTCAAGGGACTGAAACCTGCATTATTATCCCCTGTATAAAGGCAGCAATCAGAACAAGACTTCCACTTAGAGCAGAAAATGGAGCAGAGGGTCACACTCTTATTATTAAATCCCATCACACCGACGCAACGCGGAGCTGCCTGCCATCCACTTAGGTTCTCAGGAGGGGTTCGGAAGCTGCACTGTGGAGAGAGCCCCCCCTTCACACAGGACGCTGCAGGGACAGAAGCCAAAGTTCACGAAGACCCCAAGCCTGCCCTGCACTGACTGCTTGCTACCTGCTCACACATGCCCAGACCCACTTCAAATCACACTGAGGTTGGGGCCCTCTGTTGGGATCACTTCAGCTTTGGAAACTGGAATAAGAAGCGAAATAAGAATGCTGTGAACCTGCGTTCTTTCAGAGCACTTCATTGTGCCCTGTCTTTCAGGAACTGGTGCATAGTTCACATGGTAAAAAGTAAATGAAAAATGTAACACAGCGAGAGGCGTTAGCAATTCTGTACGTCACCTGTCACTGGAGCTCCTTCTCTTGGAATAAGGACAGCCTTCAGAAATGGGTGTCTCCCATCCATATGTAACTCAGTTAAAACCACTCAACACAGGCCAGTCATAGCGCATGCTATTAATAGAAGATACATTAGATACAGAAACCACAGCTGCCCACGCCCAGGACTTGTATTTGGCCCTCATTGTTTGTGGATTCCGTATTTATAAATGTTCCCACTTACTAAGTTATTTGTGACCGTAAAATCAATCGTCAGAGGGCTTTCAGGTCACTGGTGGAAACGCACCATGCACACCCCCACCCCCAGATGGGATGAGCCAGAGGGCGCATGCTCGGCCTTCCCATCTCGGCTGTCAGTCAAAGACCAGAGCAGGGGCGAGGTAGGGCCCGTGGAGGGCAGCTCAGGAAGCTCCTGCAGATGGCCGGGGTCTGAATTCCGATCCTGCCACCTGGCAGTGGGGTGGCCTCAATCAGGTCACTTAACACTTGTGAACTTTGTTAAAGGAAACAGGACCTAACAGAATGATTGTTTTCAGGATTTAAGGTTAAAGTATTCTATCAACAACAGTTCAGTGCGCTATAATTAAGCATTCACTGCGACCTTAGAACTACCTCATTAATGAGAACTGATGGAGTAGGCGGCTCCCGTGTGTACCGGACTTCCTTGCTACCACGCTCCCTCTCACCTCTCCTCACAGTAGCTCTGTGGAGTGTCACAGTCTTCATGTCGCCTGTCCTGAATCTGGGATTTGGGGAGTGGGCCCCCTCCCAGGTTTTTTGTGTGTGTAACAATTCAAGCCTGCACCTGACTGCCGACTTCCGGCCCTGGGCTCTCTCCTCAGCCTGCACCTCAATCTTCTCCGGGTCTCAGGGCCACATCCCACATGATGTGGACTCCTAGCATAGGCTTCTCAGGATCTGCAGATCTAGACCAGCCTCCTTCTCTGGTCCCACCTTGTTAATCAATCCCAGCCCTGCAGAGGAGCTTTCTTGGGGGTCTCCACCTCTCCCTTGAGCTCTTCTGGGCATGGTCCCATCACAAGGGCCTTCTAAAGACTGGGATTTCTTGGCATCCACAACTGGTTTTCTATGGCAGCCCCTCTGCCCAACACATGCATATACATTGCCTGCTTCTATCACTAATAAGATTTTCCACTGCACTTCAGCTATCTTAAGCCTTCTCACCCATCCACTTTCCTATATAGTGACTGCTGTCCAGAGAGGGTCACATGACACCATTGTGACCAATGTGGTGTGAGAGGGCAGCTAGGAATTCTGGGATATGTCTCCTCAAGCAAAGAGACGCATGGGAAGTGAGGCATCTGGCCACCAGGTGTCATCACATGGGAATGACAGTGTGGGAGTGCACCAAGGATCCAAGAACTCTTGGAAGCTGGTTGTGGGACCAGGCTGAATCTGTAGCTGGGAAGGACGGACAGACAGAAGACACTCTGGTCCTTGAGGCCCTGGAGGGGTCGCTAGACAAGCCCACCTGGCACCGCCTGAGACTTATTAGATTTTCCTTGTTGGTAAAGTCATTTTGATCTATGTATTTTTGTTACTTTCCACCAAAAGCCTCATGAAGGTGTGGACCTCAACTCCTCTCCTCAGAAGGCATCCTTTCAGTCAGGTCCACTTAGATTTGCCACCCGCCTGTCTGGTGTCTCTCCACCTGCACTATAATATATTCTACTAATTTGCTCTGTGTCCCACTGGTGTAGAATATTTACAAATACTGCCCTATTGCCTACACTTCCTGT